TCAGTAAATAATTTTTAAAGAGAGAAATAGAGGAAGAAAAATTCACATGCAGTTGAGTTAAGTAAAGCGATTTAAACGGGAGCGACATGCCGTTAGAGTAGCCGACTTGTCGTAGCCCCCACTCACCTTACAGTGTGGTGGCAAACGTGTCGGAATCCACGACACTTTATTCGAATCTTGTGTACCTGTTAGCTGATCGACGGAGTCAAGATACAAGGTGAGCGGCTGGTTCGTGCTAGCATAAGTTAGTAATTGCTTAAAATGTGCCGTTAAAGGTACAAGATCGTCGGGTATATTCTCGAATGGTAGCATATAGTTGTAGGAGATCTGCATCAGAGGCATATTAGTAAGTATATTTACAATGGAAATAATAAAATGAAATAAAGCAACAACAAATATGAAATTTTGTTTCAAACACAACTGATATTTGGCTACGAAGGCAGTTTAATAAATCTTTGACAATTTCGCAATCGAGGCTCACCAACTGAAGTCGGTTATTATTTCCAGCATATAAAATTCCTCATCCTGCTGCTCGCAACAGTTGATATGACATCGAAAACATTCAGGGCTGTGGAGCCCAAAGTTGTTCGGTTAATCTGTCTGGAACACAACTAGCGGTGCCTTATTGAATGTTGTTCACGGTTTTCCACATGTAGTAGTTAGAATGCAAATATTAAGTGTTGTTGTTGTCGACTTGGCCGGAAAAAATCCGGGTTACGTAGACCCGACTGTTATGGGAACGTGTATTTGTTCATCGCATGAGGATCAGCTCTTCTAGCGCTATATATTTCTCCCAATCCAATCTACACACAAATAAACCGTTATAGATGAACTGTGCATATTAAGTAATCATTGTGTCTCTAATGATTTATAACGAATCTATATTGAGTCCAAAGTTACTGGACATTTTTCAACGAAAAAAAATTTATGATCGGTCTTTAACCATTAACCATTCCGACTTAATCAATGCAGGAGCGTTCAGAATGAACAATGAATCGCCAACTCTTAGCCAATAATATTGTTCTTGTAGCAGCGTAAAACATTATCCAAATAGTTTCGAGGAATACTTCTGTGGTGATAGTCCTTGGCGGGATATGAAGTCCGTTACGAATACTTGCATAGATCTCATTGTAGTGGCAACGGTCTTTTTGCCAATGAAATGTAATGCTTTTCTATTCCGTTTTTCGACTTAACAAACTGCCCGCGTATTAAATTTTAGTTCAATAGATAATACGAAATTGATATTTACGCTTAGTTAAAACCCCACTCACCTGTTGACAAATCGAAATTAGCGTCGGTGTTAGCGCACTTGAATCGGGCGTGGTACCAAGGAAGCGTATAACATTAATTGGTCGCTTACTGGCAAACCATTCGCTAGCCACTAGCGAAGCGCTTTTTGCAAGCATCGATGTCTTACCACAACCTCCTTCGCCATAAAGGACAAGTGGTTTATCTGAATCCCCCAGCATATAGCGCTTGATATGTTCTAAATTATCTTCACGCCCATAAAATACCTTTACCGAATTATTACAAGCGTGCAAATGCTGTAGGATTTCAGTCACTATCTGCCCCTGTGCACTGGAGTCTTCTTTGCGCATGGCGCGATCCACCAATTTCACAATATTCTTGTAGAAATGCGAGATAAAATGATTGAGATATTCCTCGTGCGTTTCGATGTCCAAACCCTCGCGACCGATCCACTCGACTGTGTACCTTATTTGTGGAAAATGAAAAAAAATTGCCATAAATTAGTTGAAGAAACTTTAGTCCTTCACTACATAAGACCTACTTTTGCATATTGCTGGACTCAATCTTGTTCGGTAAGCGCACATCACGCAAATCGCCCAGCAATTTAGCCGATTCTGTGTCCAAACTGCGATTTATAATATCCACAAAGAGTGATGCCTTCTTGAGATTTTGCAAATTTATATTATTGATGTAGCGCACATAAGCTAGGCAATGATTTTTTGTATTCTTCACGTCCAATATGCCATTAATGACCTCGCGCTCAGTAACTAAATAAATAGTAGAGAGATCGTTTTAGCAATGCTTATGCTTATGTTGTCAAACATATGTACGAGTATATTGACTGTTCAAATAATTTTTCTGCAATTACAAAGACAATTTTCTAAATAATCAAGTTGAATACCGAAATACAATACTGCTCTCCATATGCTTCGTTTTTTTGTTTGGGTTGAACAGTTAATAAAATCAAAAAGCCTAAATATTGCCTCCATGCCATAATGCTGGCTTCAAAGAAGTGTTTGAATGAATGAATTTCTCCCGAAGCGGATAAGTCAATACAAATGAATGTGAAAACATAAAACGGCATCTACCATACATACTATCCGAGAATCAAGAGAATTATACAACTTGGCGAATAATGTACAACGAATATGGAAATGATATGGTACTGCAAGGCTTTCATAGGTCGATGAAAGAGATGATGATTGAAATGAGATTTTGGAGCTTCAAACAAAATGCTTTGAAACAACTGACTTTTCAAACTGTTCTAGTATTATTCTGCCATCAGAGAGCCATCTTACCGGACATAAAATAATTATGCACACATTCCTTATCCATCTTTTCGCTGGCACCCAAAGAAGCAGCAGCCTTTCGTAATAGTTTTTGCATTTTATTAAGTGTATCCCACCAAACGGCTTGATCCTCGGCTTGTAACTTGGGAACACGCTGTACAAAAAATGGAATAAAGTTAAACATATAGCTTTCCAAGGATATTATGATAGATTTGCAATTTTCGGATTTTATTGCTTGGCAATTCCAAACGATATAATTTACCATAATCCAACAATATTGGATATTTACCTTGTTATTAAAGTTAATCAAAATCGATGAGATGGGCTGTAGTACTGACATCGGTGGCACGGCATTACTATCCTTTTTGTACCACAAATCGAGCAAGGCACGATCCACACCCATTGATGTCAGTTCCTCGCAGATAAGTTGCAATTCTGACGACACTATATATGTTGGTATAGGACGGTAACCATATTTCTGACCCAAAAACACAATGAAATTCGGGCCCATCGAAAGCCGTTGGCAATTTTGTATTTCGCGCATACATAATTCTGTCGTCATGTGATCATCGGTGGCTTCGTCACGAACACCCCAACGCATATCGACTACCTGCAGAGGAATTATAAATGTAACAAGAAACAAGAAAAAACTTTAACTTCGGCTGCATTGAAATTATAATTCGCAGTTACATTTATTTTAACATAAAAGGGTATAAAAAGATTTTTACATTGGTACCAATCGGTCAGTTTGTATGACAGCTATATGCTATATTAGTTCGACCTAAACAATATCTGCCTTGGGCTATTGCCAAAGAACTGAATTTTGATTGATCAGTTTGTATGGTAACTATAGCAGATAGGGCGAAAAGAACAGATTTCAGATCGATATCTCAAAAACTTAGGGACTAGTTCGCGTATATATAGACAGGCGAACATAGCCACATTAATAAACTCAGGTCGTCATAGATATATGTACAAGTATATATACTTTATAGGGTCTCCGACGTTGCGTTCAGGGAGTTACAGGCTTCGTGCCAATCTTAGGATATATTAAGTTCCGGGTATAATAAATATAAATAAATTCTAAAAGAATCTTCACTTTCGTCACCTTTTTCATATTGCGAGCGTAACGGTATTTTGTTACGAAATACAATATCATTGCAAAGTACTTTTACTTCAAAAGAATTTAAACAATTACTGAATTGTGATTTAATTTAAAACATATATGCTTTTTAGGTTTTATTAGTACATATTCGGTTTTAGTTATTTTTACATACTTGTATATATGTATAGTATTAGGAAAGTGCCTACGATATGCTCACCTGAAACTCCAGTCCATGTTTTTCGCGACAATAATCCTTAATGCGTGGATAACACTTCGCCATCAGCGTATTGCGCTCCATTGTGGTATCTAAACATAGTTAAAATTTCAAGGTCAACAAGCAAATTCCACAAACTTATGCAATCAATCGCTCCGAAATTAAAAAAAAAAACACACACACACCTGTGAAAGTGGAACTGGTGAAAATGCGCACAATTTTTGAACTAACTGGCGGCAGGGACTCCAGAGAGCCCGCGAAAATCGAGTCAATCGTGCGATCATCCATTTTTTCGAATATAAATTTACAGATCCTTAACTTTTTAAAATTTCACCACCACTGAGCGCATTAGAGCCTGCAACTAAAAAATTGAGAACGCGCCTTACTTTTAACTTGCTATCTGACCACTTTTGCTGAAACTCAATACGCGACTGCGATGAAAATTTGTGCATAAAAACATTAAATCCCCATTGACAGCCCAATAAATTGGCCGAAAATATCACAAAAGTGACTTTTGTTGTTTGATCGATAACACTTTTTAAGGCAGCAGTCAATCACTGAAGCGCAAGAGCGCAGACGGGTGGTTGCGGACCATAAAGCTACGATAATGTGGCAGCAGGAGTAAAGTGTTTGCGAGAAGTAAATGAGAGTATGCCAGCACCTGTCAGGACGATAAGAGATTTTGAAGAGAGTGTGTTTATGTCTACAGTTGCACATACGTACATATGTACATACGTAATTGGGTGCAAATGGCACTCGCGTTTCCATTAAACGATTTGTGTCGCTTATGAGACTGATATTCACATATCAGCATATTATTGCCATTAAAGCGGTGGCATGCAACATCACTTTTGGTTGCCGTTAATTTTATAAATTATGCCAATAAATTTGCGTGTACTAAATATTATATATGTACATATGTAAATGTATGTATGTATGTAAGACTACGTAACGGTACAACTTACATTTAACGGCATTGCGCTGTACATTAATTTAATGGTTGTGTTCCAAATAATTTATGAACTCCATTGGTGTTCTTATAACTTGGACATGTGATTACATATGGTATATGTATAAATATGTTTACATATGTACATATGTATATATGTATGTAGGAATATATGCATAGATAAAATGGAGAAAGTTGGTTTCCATTAATATAACTTTATTTTTTTTGTAACAATAATTTTGTGGCGCTCTTCCTATGAGACATGTGACATATTTATTTTTCTGTTTTATTACTCTCATTAAAGGACCTGTTGCTTTTCGCCAATGCACTCCTATACATTTACATAAATACATAGAATTATTTCAAGTCAAACAATAACAACTGCAACAGGTGCGTATTAAATTGTTTTCTCTCCCCCTGTGTATATATCTATGGTTTGGCATTTGTTCGCTTTCTGTAGCACGTGACCTTTGTGGGCGGCGTTCTTACTTACGTTCATTGTCCTTGCGTGTTTGTGGTTGCTTTTGAGTTGCGTTGCACCTTTGATTGTTTCGCAAATTGGTTTTGTTGTTGCTTGGAATTTTCATTGTTATTTCAACGTCATGACGGTATTTTATGGGCGCGCGCATACTTTAATCATTCATCTGCAAGCAAGACGGTCGTCCGATAAGACGGTGAAAATATTTTTCGAAGATAATATTGCAATAAAGCTTGATGAATTGAAATGCAATTAAAACTAAAATATTAAGTAGCTAGCAGATCACTTCACTTGGGGAAGAGGACTTCATATGTTTGGGATTAAAAATTGAAAATATTACTTTTTGATTTGAATGAACTCGAAAAAATGTAAATTCTAAAACAAATTATAATATTTTTTAAATTATTAATTATATGTGGTAGACCCAAACTCAGCAATAAATTATATCAAGAAGCATGTCTACGCGGTGTCCATAAAAACTTTGCTGTAGTTTAGCTGTTCTACTGAGCTTCTTCGAACTTTTTTCCTAAAAATAAGGATTATTTAAGATTTAACACACTGCCATATTTCTTCCTGAATCATATCGATTAATTAATCTACCAAAATACTTAGTGCATCATCAGTCTCATTATTGCAGCAAAGCCCAGAGAAACCCTGCTTAACCATTGCAATGAAGAGCGACGAAATCTCATGTGTTTATTAAGCCTTACGCGTAACGTTCTGCAGTTAATATACTTATACAAGTAGTGCTCGCACTCCACATACCCATATGCAAATAGAGGTAGTCTATAGTAGATCATCCGTCATTCATGACTTCGACACGACTTTCATGAAATAAGTTTGAATGGCAATAAGAAATTTTCAAAGTCAGCTTGTCGTAAGTGAAAGTTTTGCAATTCTTCGCTTTTCACTTTCAAAGCACGAGTACAGAAAGCTTTGGTTTTTTTTATTGTTTTGTTTGTTTGTTTTTTATCATACATATGTTTATGTGAGTATTTATGCACTCGCAAAGTTCTATAGTAAAAGTTGTGTCAAAGTTGTTGATTGCTTTTCAGCTGACAGCTAGCTGCTTTATGTGCATATACTTATATACATATGTATGTACTTTTAAATCTATGAAAAGTAATCAAGGTCCAATTTTGAATTCTACTTAAAACTTTTTTAACTTTTTCAAACAATCCAGCTATAGTATTTTATTGTTATCGAAACGTTAATGCACTGTCGCCTTCTACATGCAGCTACGACCATTATTGTAGTAAATATATGTAGTATCTTTCAAAAGTTCGTTGCGTCTTCCAAAAGTGGCTCATATTCTACCGATTCGATTTCCAACTACGCGCAATTTTATTCCAAAATGTGATACAATTAATTGGACTCCAGAATTATTGTGCAGCAGATTCCGAGATTTATATGTACATCGAAAATTTTATTCCGAGACCATACTCGTATACTTAATCTTGCCATTAGTTCTGTTACAAGATCAGGTCGTTATAAAATTGAAATTATTATACATTTTTTAATAAGGTTTATTTTATTTAATAGAGCAAATTTTAATTGAATGTTTCACACAAGCCTTCTACGATTCGGTCATTAATCGATAACAGCACGCACAGTTTCTAGTGGTATTGACGACGATGCTTGAAAGAAAGATGTTTTGAGACTCTCCTAAATTCTGTAAGGTATTCCACAGGCCATGTTCTCTAACTACAAACTGTAGTCCAATCGATTCCAATCTGCGCTTCCAGACCGCTAAACATCTGCAGCTAATAAACCAAAAATATTGCTTATAAGCCACTGCTGGTTGGTTTTTGCCTTGTGTGCTGGAGCAGAATCTTGCTGAAAAATTCAATGTTGCCCATCAAAGAGAGTATTGCTTAACTGCTTACCTTCTAAAACATCTTGCTGGTAAACTTTTACTTCAGTTTAAACCACCTTTTCACAGAAGTGAAGAGATGTAACGTCTTTACAGGAGACTCCTTACCAAACCATTGCAGCATATGGATGGTGACCACGTTGAACTCTTGGCATAACATTTTTTGCCTTTTTTACTTATTTGCAAGTTTTAGCGTAGATTTTGTTGTTTTGATTATTAAAAATTTCTTCAGCAGTGAAAATTGCTTCATCTGTAAAAAGGACACTTTGATAGCCGTTGACCGCGTGCCACTCAAAAAATTTCTTCGTTGCCTTAGACAATAATCCCTGCTAAATTTTGTGAAGATACCTCGTCAAAAAAAAAAATTTCATATAAGAACTTGATTTTGATCGTTTAGTTTGTATAGCAGCTACTTACTATAGTGGCCCGATATCGGCGGTGCCGAAAAATGAGCGGCTTCTTGGGAAGAAAAGGATGGCTGCAAGATTTCAGAGCGATGTCTCAAAAAATTAGGGACTATTTTGCGTAAATACAGACAGACGGACATTGCTAAATCAACGCAGCTCGTCACGCTGATCATATATATATATATTAGGTGTAGTAAAATAAAATCCATTATTTTTGCATGAAATGCTTTAATTATTACTTTTCGTTTCCAGCCTTATTCAAATGATTCCAAACGGTTTTTTGTGCAATGTTTATGTCCTGGACAATCGTAATCGATGTTTGGACTCGGCGATTTAAATTATTCGATCGATTTTTTCGATAATTGGTCTCCCAAAGCGTGATGCATCTTTGACATCGAAATTACCGAAACGGAATCGACGAAACTAAAATTGCGCATGATTGGCTGTTGCAGTATCAGGACCATAAACTATTCACATTTCAGCGTTTTCGCCTTTATCGAAGAAAGACTGTAAAATATAGTTATTTTCTGTTTGCTAGTGTCCATCTTTGACGAGCGCTCAAACAAAACTGAATCAATTAATCATAAAATTGTCAGAAAAGCTTTTTTAGTACGAAATGTCATCTTTCTAACACCATCTAGCCGAACCCGATCGAACTTATACAACGCGAGATACAGATAAACAACGACATCTATGGAAAAATAATGAAAAACTTAATATACGTTGTTCCGGGTATAATAACGAGACTGTTTTTTGCGAATTTGTTCTCGCAGTATGCATTCTAAAATTTGTAACAGAATTTATGGCAAGACTAAGGATAGAATCCGAACAATTTTCGATCACTAAAAAATAGTTATTAGGTTGGATTTCTATTGTACATATGCTCATGAATCCTGATAATAATGTTTGAATGTAGATATGTAGATATAATAAAAATAACAACAAAGAAATTTTAGCTTTAAATAACAATATATTTTATTTCATTAATTTTTATATTAAATATTTGTATTATACTTGTATTATTACATTAAATTATTTAATACAATATAAATATTTATTTGTTAGATTGCATAAATATAAATATAGAATATTATCTTGGTCTCACATTTTATGCATTTATGGTATGTGTCATTAGACCAAGAGTCTATTCGGTAGTTTGAGAGTGAAAATAAAAACCGTTCCTTAACGAATATTGTTATAATTTTTAATATATATAGTTAAGCCCACGAATCAACAAGAGGCTTGAGAGGGATAAGGAAAGAATATAACTGATACAAAATATTCACGTTATTATTGAAGGTAATAATTAGGTGTTTTAGAGATCTGAAAACAAAAGAAATTAAAGAATCGAAAAATCGATCTCTATCACTAGAATCGGAACGCTTCATTCCAACGCACTCGTTGCAGCAGGATCAGGGTTAAGGATGCGGTATGTGCTCGCAGTGTACGAGTATGTGTGTATATATGTATGAACGTGTGTAGGAAGTCGATATTAATTATGATTAGAGCTTTTATTGAGCTTTTATAAAAAGTTAATTCGGTTTATATTTTCTAGCGGTTAGGCAAAAATTTTTGTTGGAAACTTGATTTTTGTATTGCTTTTGTTGGCGTTTACAGTGATATTAAAACTTTTGATTGCTAGAAATTGGGATGATATATAAAGTTTTTCTATTTATTTTTTGCTTAAAACTTAGATGCATGTATTTTATTCACTATTAATTTTCTATGTATAAGTAAAATTTTTTGAAATTCGACATCTTCTAATATGTTTTTTAAATTCTATTTTCGCATTTTTAATTATAATATGTGTGTAAGTGTTTCTGTTTAAAATTGTACTAAATAAGAATTTATCTTATGTATTTGTTTTAATATTATTTTAGTTATAATAATATTTTAATTATTTAAAAAAAAACATAAACTTAAAAAATTAATACATTTAAGAGGACATAAATATATAATATTCAAAGCAAACTTAAATTTAATGAAATAATAAGTATTTTTGATGTAACTACAATTTCAATTTATCTACGCAACAATAAAAATAAATATGCAGGCGTTGACATGAAAGTGAATACGAAGTGAGTACGAGTGAATTCATCCGAATTTCTGTTGTTGTGAAATGAAGTTATTTGTGCTGAATTTTTTTTTGTTATTTTTTCGCAAAAATGGCAACTCGTACATTATAAGCGAAAGACGAGTGTAACCAACTACGCATTGCATGTTTTGATTTTATTTTCATTCGCAATAGAATTACATACAGAATTACAATTACATATGAACTTTAGACTTTTGAAAACATACATATTTTCGTTTTACATTTTTTTGTCTTAAAAAAAATATTTCGAAACATTTTTCAAGCGTTTTCGATATTTTGATGTCAAAAATTTGTGAAAATGGTTGTGTTACTTGAGAGAGTGCTACTTCTTACGAAAATATTTTTAATACATGTCAAATAACCTTTTCTAATTTTTTTTTTCGTAATGTGCTTGCATGCTACAAATATATATGGTTGTTACTTCAGAGCGTGCTTCCTCTTACAAAAAAAATTTTAATCCATAATGTTAAAAAAACGTTTGTTTTTATTTTTCTCAAGAACTTATTGTTTGCTTATATTTTGATAATTTTGTGTGATTTACAATCTATTCGTATTCAGTTATCACTCAAAAACGTATTTTCATTGGTTGAAATCTTTGAAAAATTTATTTTTGAATCATAAAAATAAAACAAAACACAAAAAACGGCTGATTTTGACATTATGAGTCAAAACATTTTGACAAATCGCTGTATATGCGCTAACGGCACAACTTTATATAATTGGTGAAAGCCCCTCGCAAACATTTATCATCCACTACTGTATAATTATTAACATAGAAGCCGTCCTATGATGTTAAAATTATGACTAACTGTATTTGATTATACCGGTTTTTTAGACTTATACCAAATACTTTGATTCACCACTCTTTTAATACTGTCGTATCGAAGACAGCAGAACAGATTTCCCCATTCAGCTATTGCCTATTAAAGCAGTGAATATATAGAATTATATAAGAAAAAAAAGAAGGTGAAAATAAAAGCGTACTTTCAATTGTAAAATTTTCATATATTTCATTTAATTGTATATGTATGTAAATGGTATCGAAATTAATTACATAAATTATTCATTCATAATTAAACAAAAAAAAACATGCCTAAATGTTATGTAAATAATATTTAAACATAATCAGAAGATAGCATAGAAATATAACGTATATATATACATATGTATATATATATGTATGTGTATATATGAAAATGTATAGCCATATTCATATATACATAAATATATAGAAAAATATAAAACAATAAATTGTGTAACACATATAGTACAATGCAGCGGAAAATTATAAACAAAGTAAGAGATATGAAACATTAAAAATCAAAACTTAACATGTCAAGAAGTGTCAAAGCGCTGCCGACATTAGAATGGATATCTGATTGCAATTAGCTAAAACTAAAAAGCTTGGTCTATGAAATAGGTAGCTAATTTTTTTTTATCTAAATATGCTGCAGCTGCTTCAACACCTCTAATTACTTAAATATATGCATTTAATTAACATTTCGTTGTTTCTTTTAAAAATAAAGTATTACATAAATACAAATTGTGCAAATACAACAGATATAATGTATTTGTAATGATAATTTTTTGCACAGACAAATTTTTTAAACTTAATTTTTGTGATTTTGCTTTACAGCGTTGCTTTTGTAGAGCAATAATTGCGACGAAAAAGCGAGTACTTCGTTAAGTGGGCTGAAAAGCGTATGCCGTTATGTGTTTTTAGGCTAAAAGGACTTAAAAAGGATGCCAAATGTATTTTCATGTAGCGACAAAAAATTTCGATAAAAAAAATTAAAATGTGAAAGTTTTTTAAATTTTTAAAATTTTTTACATTAAAAAAATTTCTATAATGTGATTTTTAGACGCCTTGCGACTTAACACACTTGCCCAACAATTTTCTAGCTTGCACACAAACATTCCGAAATTTCCAGCTGCACATAGCAAAGCCTCTAAGTCATAGTTGGTTCTGTTTTCGTAATAGTAGTATGTATGTAGTATCCTACATCATTCGGCTAACTTAATATTGCTAATCAGCTATTATATGTATGTATGTAAATGTGTGTGTGTATGTATATTTGTTGGTCTGCATTTAAAATGTGCTTGTTTTGCTTTGACTAAGAGTTTGTTGGACTAATAATTGTTATTAATTTAAATTTTCGATTAAATATTTGTAATATTTTTAGTAGCAATAGTAGTTGTAATAGTTGTTTTTGTTTCGGTTTTTCCCACCAAATCTCTATGTATCAAAATATTAAAATATTTTTGTTTTGTTTTGTTTTTGGTAATTTGCATTATTTTATATTTTTTATAAATGTATGATTTATGCAATTTTGGTGTTTTCTTTTTGATGCTTCCATTTGGAGCATTTTTTTTTAAATATTTTTATTTAGATTATGTCCTTTTTATATAACAAAAATGTTGCTCAGACTCTGCGTGTCAATGGATTGCCATTTTAAAACTTTCGCTCTCGCTCAGCGCATTCATGCTTATACCGCTACGTTACACCGCTGTTGCTCGCTTTGCAATTTTATATAAAATTCTTATTCTCAAATACGCAATTGGAACGCATTTCTCGACAAATTATTGAATTATTGCTGACTCAGTAACATTCGCATTATTTTGCAATTTTTGGTAATTTTCTTTAAAAATTTGTTGTTTTTAATTTACTTTTATACTTTAAATTTAAAATTTTTTCGCTTTATTTTTGTTTTTTTTGTGAAACTAATGTTAAAATTAAGTGAAATTCAGCAACACTTCACTTGCATTCAGCAGCACACAACGCACGTCCTTTATCGCTCATGTATGTAGGTGTGTGTTTGCGTTGCGTTACACTTTCACTTCCGGCACTGCCACTTCTTCTTCTTCTCGAGCTACTAAAGCCTACGGCGTGGCATCGCCATTCTTCAAGCCTTCGCTTTTCCGCTCCGTACTAATACTATTCGTCAACGTGATGGTTGTTGCCTTTTTGCCAACGTCATTCGACGTCGCGTCCGCTTTGACATCCTCTGCTCTCGCCAGCCGCGCCAATTTATGTATATGCGGTGATGATGGTGAGGTCAATGTGATTCTACAATAAGAAAAAGCTTTTGTTTTTGTATACACACAAAACGTATATCGGAAAGCGGATCACGAAAAATGTGGTGGGCAGGGAGAAGTGTGAGTTTTGCAAACGAATGAGTGAAACAAGTTGAATGATGCAAATCAAATGTGTAAAACAAACGGCAGTTACATTTGAATAAAACCAAATAGCAAAATTAAAGTGAAAGGGGTATATAGTAGAAGACGTGTGCCAGGATGTGGATGAATCGGTGCATGTGATTTGAAAATTTTTTATTATACCAAAAGCCGATTAGTAGTGATGGAGATGGTGTTAGTGGTAATGGTGATGGTGTGGCAGTTGCAGGAATGGAGTTGTTGGTTGTTTAGGTGTCGAGGTGATGGTGTATAAGTGGAATATTTGATTAGAATCAAATAATATATATAAAATCTAAAATATATATACATAGATATGCACATATTTACTAGCATTTAATACAATATTGCAAAACTGTTCTTAATATAAATAATATTTACAAAATACTTTAAGAGTTAACATGTACTGGGCATAACTGTTAATTAAATTCATAAATTTTCTTTGCTTTTAAACCTTTCAAAGCCAAGAATCTAGTCACTGCGCGATATTAAACTTTTTCCATATTAAAAAAATATTCTGACATGTCAACTTCAACTGGCTTGTAAACAAAGA